GTCGTGTCTTGCCAAGAAGTCATCAACTCAAGACAGTCGATCCGTTGTCCAGTGCTTTCTCCTCGCTCCAGCGACTCCACCTACAAGGAGTGAGTATTCAGCCAGCAAAGTTAGAAGGCCCTCGGGACAAGAACAGTTGACATTTGAAGAGAAAAGACGCGGGGCATTGCGCGTTTGACACGTACTTAACGCAGTACATACATACATAAGTACATACAACTCTGTACTACTAGCCCCGTATTGGAGTAGTAGGAGCCCGATTAACTGGACAGGTCTGGTGGCGCAGAGATCTCCTGCCGCGTGTGCATGGCTGCCCTTGCCCTTGCCCTTGCGGTGTGTTCCCCGACGCATCAAGGGAACCATTGACGTCTATCAGGTCCGGTCTGGTGTGTTTTGTGGGACGACGACATTGACTTGAAAAGTCAATACTACTACTCCAAAGGGTCAACTGCAAATTTGATTCAAGCATTGTCGAGGAGCATTGCGGCTTTTCAACTTGGCATCGTGAGTCAATCAAAATGTATGCAAATAATGGAGACACACGCGAGCACGAACCATCAACACCGTGCCAATCTACTAAAGTGAAAGAATAATATACGTGCCCTTTGCTCATCATCCTCGACTTCCCGCCGTGCCAAGAAGACGACTTTTGGTTCCGAAGTTGTAAATGTCACACGAGGCGCGTTTTGTGGCACATGCGCTTAACGCCAAGTTTCTGCGCATTCCCGTGCAGAGCCTACCGTTGCCCTGCCACATATAGGTACGTGTACAGACTCAATTTACCTAAAGTTAGGTACTTCACCTACCTAGGTACTTAGGTACTTACCTTAGGTACCTACAGTAGGTGCCTACTCCGTCCGTGTCTGCCTGGACACTGGAGCGCAACGACACCTGGATTACCCAGTACATGCATTCTTGCCTCATCAGAGCATTGCAGTTTATTGTGCTACGTGCTCAGGAGCGGATGTGGATGCGATGGAAAGGGAATGGCGGCCGGTTGAAGTCGCCTCCTTCCACGAGCTGCATCGGACTAATCGCACCCCCCATCCATTAGCATCCCTGTGTAAGATATGACAGAAAACTACCACCTCGTCGGGGTCTTCAAGTTTGGCGAAATCGACTCTGATTTGCTTAAATACGACTGCGCAACCCGAGATCCCGAACCATTCTACCGGTATTGAGCATGCGTAGCACAGGGATCAGCCCTCCCTGGCCTGGGACATGTCTTGTGCAGCCAATCCAGTCTGCCGGATGGGGGACCAGGGGGTTCAAACCAAGACAACAGAGTTACGAGGCTGTTGGCGCCGTAGATCATTGTTTGCTCTTTGCACGCACGAGCACGCACCAGCCGTTGAATCTACTACCTGCTGGGTAAGTACATAGCTACCTCCATGTCCCCAAACTCCCCTGGTAGTTACTTACCGCCTACTCCGTACTGGGTAGGGTACTTAGATGTCAACTGGTATGTAGGTATGTGAAAACCTACAGCTCGCCCTGTGTTGTACGGAGTAGCCCAGCCCAAGGCATTGGGTACTACCTCAATTCTGAGCAGCTACTTCGAGCAGAACTGTTGTAACGTTGACATCTTATTCCAGCCAGAACTTGCATGGAGCTGAGCCTTTCATTGTTCTCGAATGGACTGGGAGAAGGCGCCATACAAGGTCTAGTCTAGACGGATGTTGTTAGGATTTTCACCCAAAGGAATACAACAGACCACACTTCCTTCAAATCCGACGGCGCTGTTATGATTTGCAGCAAGATGCACTGTCACTGAACATAGAACATGGCATCTCCTATGTCATCAAAATATAATATGTGCTTCAAGAACCAGTCATCAACCGCATGACATGCTCAGCTGGAAGAAGCTTTCTGATCCTGTTGGAAACTGTCGGCACCTAGCATTGTTATCAGTTTCTGAGCGCTGCAAGAGCCGTATGAAATTATCGGCAGCGCCGAACTTCATGTTCCTGGGGATATGAATGCTTCTCGACGCCTTGCAGTACCGCTGTATGTTGTGCGTTGCTCGACAAGCCCAGGTAACCCAGAAGCTTAACGTCCTCCCACTTAGAGGCAGGCACAGTCTCAAAATGCAGCCACCTTCTCATAGGATCAGGTTAGCTTCCAATGAGGCATAGGGAGAATATGAGTGTCTGGATTGGACGCGAATATAAATGTGAAGGCTACGCTCTCACCAGGCCTGCTCAATAATTAGGCCCAGTTGCCATGGCAATGCGTTTGACAAGTACTGAACTCGAACTCTAAAGTCAGCCTTCGCATAATGAGACTCATCCATTGTTAGGGATGGTCAACCTCCGGACCGGTGCCACTTTGTGACGCCTAAGCATTTCACTAAACGAGAAACTGACCAGGAGGAATCACAGCACTAGACAACTATTAGAGATCTGCTCCATTCTTTCCGGAAGCGAATTTCCGAAAGATTTTGACCTGCTTGTATTAAGTATGCCTGAGTCTCGAACATTGAGGCAAGCTGCTATGTTGAGATGATATGGGAGTAGTCGGTAGATTTCGGACCAAAGGGACTTGCTTGTTACCCCCCCCCTTCTTCTTTTGCTGTTCTCCCCTCTTCTGTTTGACGTCTCCGTCTTAGAGTCAAGAATAGTAGAAATGTCATGGAAGAGATGACAGCTAACACGCAAATTCTGATTTTCGACTTGTGTTATAGTATGTCATTGGGATGTGGCAGGACGGAGCAAGGCCCTTTGCATCTACTCCAATAGGCAACCCACAGGAATGATTAATGTAGCCCAGGCACTTGAATTTGAATAACAGAATGATTGATGCTTCAAATATACCTGTTTTCCCCCGTTGCTTCAAGGGCATATCTGTTCTCATATGTCATCCACCGCTTTCATACCCCCCTACTTGTACGAGGTTTTCCAGCTCAGACCTCTATCCATCCTCTAACAGACTGGCCTACACTTTAATAATTGGGTTACTAAGTCATGGCCACCTCTGCTTCTGGTTTTTGCCGATTTTTACCTGGTATTCTGCCCTTCAATAGGACTCTTGACGAGGCAAAAAGCTTTCCCTTGCTAGGATGCTAGACTCTTTGTCCTTACTATTGGAGCACTAAATCCAGTCCGAAGTTCCTTGGGGAAGTCACCATTGCGTAAAGGGATTGCGTGGACTTCTACAACGGGTACCGGAAGTCGTCGTAATAAGCGTAAATGGCACTGCAGATATGTCACGACGATTATCGGACTTGACCGTTGAATCATAGAGCAAAGGGATCCAGCAATAGCGGCCCTTGGCCGAATATTTCCGATATCCAGCTAACAAGTGTGCCTTCTTGGCTCTTTCTGTCTGTCTGCATGGCTATGCGGGGAAAAGTAAATCCCGCGCGAAGTAAAACGAAAGCTTGATATCACATGCCCCAAAAGGCGGGAATGATGATATACAGATATGAAGAGGTTCTTAGTTCAGCCTGCAAATTTCTGAACACTCAGTTGGCTGTGATAGGCGCGTACGAATGAGAGTTTAATTAGCCTAGTATCCGAAAATGGGTAGCTATGTTAAAATCTCGAACACGGGGAAGCTCTTAGTTAGGCCCTAGTTGGATATTTTGAACGACGAACAGTAGTCCGCCGAGCTCTGTGTATATATGGCTAGGGGCCTATACATAATATATGGGATGTCTGAAAAGAAGATAGTCTGCCACGACCGACGGTAAGACCTCAAGCTAAATCGAAAGCCGGGATCTACGGCTCGGAGTCACAGGCACATGTCTCAACTGCAATAGGAAGGTGATTTGGTACGTTCCAACAGATAGAAAACAAAAAAAACAAAAAAAAACAAAACAGAGAAAATAAGCAACCCTGAGGAGTAAGAGTCTGGGCTGCAGCCTGGACAAAACTTCGAACTCACGAGAGCCCAATAGAGACGCAAACTGATACCGTCAAACAAAAAGAAAAAATATGATCATCAAGTAAGGAGAGCTGCAAGCTGTGAAACACTCTGCCAATATTTGCCCCAGCTCCAAACAGTAAACTAGCGTCGTGGCTTCAAACATAATGTACACACTTGGATGCGACACCCATGCCAATTTACGCTCATTTATGCTTGATGAAGCACCTTTTTTGTGTCTTCCTCCTTACCCAGCAGTCCCAAATTCCGTATTTGTTTGGCGCTTGGAGCATCGTCTCGAGGTGTCGCGGCTTCTGATCTGGCATACGCCGCCTTCATTGCTACAGCTCTAGCATGCTGCGTACTGTTAGCGTCTACAACGCTTGAGTGTTCCCGGAACTAACACAGACCTCTTTCTTGTGATGCAAACACTCGTAGTAGTCCTCCAGCCCGGGCGAACATTTCTTCTTCCCGTGATCGTCCTCAGCAGTGGTGTTGACGACGTAACATGCCATGACTTCTTGCCAGAAGGGAAAGCAGCGTCCAACGCCTATGAGCGATTATGGTCAGTCTCATAAGGAAATGGGGTTGATATCGGATGTTACAAACATACCCCCATGCATTCCATATCCCGACGCCATGATAAGCCAATATGTCGTGTGTTAGGACGTTCAAATGAGTTGCCGAGTTTATTTGCTGGGCGGTAATTCGAAGTTCAGTTGAGGATCAATCACGACCAGTACTAATGGGATTCCGTTAGCTGGTAGTGGGGGTCATCCTGCTTGACATGAGGTACTTTGATCTACGTACATTATGGCGGAAGTATAATGTATCTATTGATAGTGAGCCTTGACATTTTGGCGGGTCTGTTTTAGTGCCGCGTTAGATGCATAACATCGTGCATGAGCTTTAGAAGCCAGTTTCCACTATAGGCACTGCTGGGCATTATTATGTCTATGCACTTATCACTGCCCTCGTATGTGATGTCAAGATCCAAGACCATGAACGGCGAGCAGCGGCCAAGCGACAGGCTTCTATTATAAGAAGACACACAAACCTGGAACTAAACGCTTCAAAATATAATACGGTGAATGCTCAGAGAAAAGCCCCTTTTAGTGGGCAGCGTTTTCCCCACCATGGCAAACACTTTGCACCCGGCGAAGGTGTTACTTCTGGCTGTTCACTTCGCGCAACATGCCGACATTGATAGTCTCTCGATTCTAACCAGCACTCATACAACTATCATTCACGACGAAATTTTATTACGCATCCTGCTTACTCATCTACCGGAGACTGAAAGACCTGCCGCCTATGTTGGTTTCTTGCAAAAGTTGGTTGATCATAGCTTCGAGCCGTGCCAACTCACTGGATTGGATACGTCGCCAGTCAACAGTATAGATGACAACGAAGCGGTGAAGAGGGCTACAAAACTTCATCTACTGCCACTAGTATGCCGGAATCCGCCCGAGATCGCCCAGGGGGACGCACTCAGCCGCTTCCTGTTTCTGAGAATCCATCAGATGAATGAAGAAACTGGGATGCTCGCCCAGTTGCTTGATCTGCTTTTACCATTTGGTCGCCACAGTCCTGGCATACATAAATGGGCAATGTCCACGGTAATTCCGTATGTACGGAAAGGTCTACAATATCGCGCCGGAACATCACTTGCCTATTCCTTAATCGAGTTCGAGAAATTGCCTGATCACCAGGCAGTTGACTTCTTGTTGTGCCCAGTTGATTCTCGCGCTCAACCGAGAGAAAATGTTGATCATGACCTGAGGAGTATTATAGGGCCATGGGTCTATGATACAGACCGATGGGAAAATTCCTCAGAGGATGGCGAGTCATCTAGGGTTTTCTGTCCTGGCTGGCACAAAGTTTGCGAGTGGTTCCTATCTCAGGCCACCCTATCATGGTCAACTGCTGTTCAAGCCATCGAACGTTGGGGTGGTCCAGAGGATGTTGAATTCGGTCATGGAATAGCACTCGACCTCCCAGCTGCACACAGGTATTATCTTAGGCAAACTTACGCTACAACCGTCTTGGCTTGTGTGTATGGTGTGCAGGAAGCAACCTTGGAGTCGTTAAGAAGGCTGCACTCCATACTGATGAATCTAAGAGTATATCTTGGCCTCAACGGTGGCACGATGTCCCTTGAGGAAACAATGAAAGTCTTACCTGGCTTGTCTTCCACAGATATAGCGGTGTTTCACAATGATCGAGTCGCGACTTATATGAGGAATGATTTATTGGGACAGAACAACCCACTGACTAGACCGAGTGAAGGTGCCACAAACCTTTTACTCGCTCTCACTCGAAGTGCTTACATCTTGACCCTTTTTGGTTCCCCCTCTTCACCGAGACGCGTCGGAGACCTCACATTTCTCCATGACGAACGGGACCAAAGGTCTGAAATTTCGAAACTCCTGAGGACCATTGCAATCCAAGCATCCAAGGAAAATGACGACTTTCTACTAAAGGCACGAGAATTCCTGCTTTGGCTACGGGACTGGGGCCATGGCACCGCTGGCAAACCTACTGCTGGAGCAGCAACAGCTGGTGCTCTTGGCATGTTGAGCAAGGAATATGTGGAAGCAGAGTTTTTAAAGTTATTATTGTCCAGAGAACGTATGTAATGACGCGAATTACATGTTTCCAGGACATTAGAATTTGCCAATTAACTTTGAACAGGCTATAGCCTCGCGCGCAATTTGTACGATGGTGGAGGGCCTGTACGCCTCCCAGTCGAGGTCGTACAGGATTCAGTATACGAGTCGGCCCTGAGTGCTTTCGACAATGCCACGAACCCGAATAGGTCCCGAGGAGGGTTGAAAAGATGCGATGAAATGTAGGTTTGATGATACAGGCTCATGGGCTACTGAGCTAACCACAAGTAGCATTCATGCCTTACCTAAAACCGTAGGCCTGTCGCTGCCGGGGACAAAGCGAATTATCGCGCTTTTGAAAGCCACTCACGCGCTTAGTGACTATCGCTTGGTTCTTAAGCAAGGAGAACCCTTCAGTCCTGTAGTTCTCAGGGTACATTCCGATCCGATATTCATTATCGAAAAGGTCTTGGAACAGAATCCTCGAGCCTATACTCGCCTCCAGGAGTTCCTGGAAATGGGCATGAACATGGTTCGGGCAGGTTTACCGTCCTATCGCAAGTTAGATTCTCCTACATTATTGACAAGTGATTCGGAACTAAACCTCGCTGCCTATATTGCAGAACGACGCATAACAGCAATGTGTATTGAAGCTGCTTTGAAGGAGGACGACTTTGAAACCGCATATTCCTATGTTGCCAGTCGTCTAAGCATGCAAAGTCCCGAAAACTCTGATACTTCGCCCTGGCCAGTCGTAGATGAATGGTCTTGGAAGGCTGCGCTGCAGGCTGGTCAATACATTCGAACAGAGCGTTCGCAGCAACCAACTCATTTAGGTACGGCAAGCGGCAATCTTGAGATACGACACCTTGAGCAGCGTATTGAGTGTCTCGCCACCGCGCTGCGAGTCGCGCCAACTAGTCAGCTTCAGGAAATCCTCAAGAGCTTTCGGCGCTGTGAAGAGCAACTTGATTCGGCAATTAAAGAGGAAGCGGCCAATGAGCTGGCCTTGGGTGAAGAAGCTAAGGTTGACAACCTTCCAGGTGCTTTCGATCAAGTCAATGTTGAGCAGCAGTATCCTGTCAGGAATATGACTGCCAGCGTAGCAGCCCAACAGACAGAGGAAGCGCCGATGTCTCTATTTGATCTGTCTAGAGCAACTGCTCGCGCCGCTCAGCGCAATTTCACTGCTATTCCAAGCCTACAAAGCATCACAAGAGGCGCTGATGCCAACAACAATGAGCATGAAGGAGGGTCACTCTCACGAATCCGTAAACGAGATCAGCTTCGTGAAGCTGCGACTGGGACGCTGGTTTCTGGGGTAGGGTGGTTAATCGGAGCCAATGTCGGCCAAAATAAAGAAGAAACTAGTTGATGAATATATTTTTCTCAACATCACAAAAGAAACAAGCCGGATAGTCATGCAAGATATTTAGCAACACTATGTTTTAGCCAAATCTAAGCCAGGGAACCGTAATTAACCACGCAATACACCATGAACATATCGTGATGCGTCAGACACACTACCAAATTAGTGATTCATCACCGCCCGCGCCGGCGAAGGCTATCTTGCGATAGCTAGCTGATGAGTATATATATATATTTGGATGACTTTGGATCTTCGACCCCAGGTGACAATTGTCGATCACAGACTAAAGCAGTATCTAACTGAGTACCTGCAGTGGGGGAGTAGACCGAAGGCAACCTATACAACTGGCAGTCTAGTCATTATCCTGCTTCACATTTACATAGTCCCCAGCGCATCGATTCTTTTATTACATATTCACCATGTAGGTAGGTGTCGTAGCAATGGACAAACCGCGCTATTTACGACGTCGTGCGCGTAGCGTGATTTTCACCAACATAAAAGCGCTAGGAAAATTCACCTGAGCGACAACTACTCCGGATTAATCTCGATGGAAAGGTATGTCGAGGGCATCGAACTATGTGCGCCTTGTGACAAGGCAAAGCCGCAAAGCTCGCGTGATGAAAGCTCCGCTGACTCAACTTTGAACATGTCCCTACTATCAGCAGCGCAGCATAGAGCTTCGGTCAGTGCTGTCTTTCTGAAGACTTTCCTGTGTTGGCTGAGAATGGGTTTGGCTCAGAACGAAATAGAATAAGTTGCGGATGTAAACTATAAATATTAGGCGCAAACCGGGATAACGCGTCCTTAGGATTGAGCCCAATTCCTGTGCGAACAGCAAACGGATTAGCAACGAACAGATCAAAAAGACGGCTCACAAGTAAAAGGAAGAGGTCCTGGAAGTGACTCAGCTCTCTTAGCACCTATGATTCATGTACAAGCACGAGCTTTAGACTCTGTCAGAGTCGAATGTACCATAGCACAAAAAATGAGGATATCAATGTCGGGTTCCTCTTGCCAGGGGGAATCCCGAGAAATCAAACATAAATATATTGGCGGGAATACGTCATGACGTGGCGGTTGGTGATACGGCGATTACAGCACTATTGGGTGACGTTTCGAATGGCGGCATTTTCACGATTCATTCCGAATTACCCGAAGCCAAGGCGAATTTAACAGAAGTATGCGACTTTAAAACGTTCTCAGAGACTGAATACCGATAGTTGTGATCCATTTAGTTGGCAACGCCAATGCGCGATATTGTTTCATGATACTGATACATGTAGCTGCACGACGCAGCTTGACGTTGTCGATTGCGAAGCCAAGAGCCCATTGGTTTACCTGGCCAACTGCTTGTGCCGATGGCTTTGGGTTGTGCCGTGTCGCAAAAGCTACCAAAATCTGCCGTGCGATGTGACAGGCGATACGAGACTGATTCTGCATTGATTCGGGTGCTGCCTCATTTGGTCCATCCGAAAACCCGTTCGTCCCATAAATGGCCAGCAAAGAAAAAACGAAACAGTATAAACAGTGCGAACAGAACCGAAGGAAATAGGCAACAAAACCAGGACGACATAAACCCCTGTGGTGAGGACCGAAAACATAGTAAAACATGCGAGGCAACTGAGAACACATTCCCTTTCTGAACAGTTGCACCTGAGGGAAAGGGGTTTTGGCAGGACCAGGACCTAGTCTCTGGTGTGCACTGTGGTTGAACGAAAGATCTCAAAACAATTGGGGTAGAGAAAGGGCAAAGAAGTGACGTTTGAGACTGAAGCACCGAATGGCATTTGACCCATGGGCAAGAGGGTGTACCAAGGCGCTGAGCCATATCCGACTTCACCGAGCAGATGGATCAGCTGCAACGAAAGTCAGCAGTGGTCATTGATTATGACAGTTTATATTGCGAACCTCCATATGCGTCGCGGGCCTCAGATCGGGGACCCGAATCTCCATAGCCGGGAGCCCCAGCAGCTGTTTCTCGCTCCCTTGGCGCGCCACGCTCGGCCTGACGGTCGTATCGATCACGGTCGTACCCACCGCCGGGACCACGAGGTCCATATCTGTCACGGTCGTCGCGCCCTCCATACCGTTCCCGACCATAGTAATCGTCACGTTCCCGGCGTTCATGCCCTCCACGCTCGGCGTCTCGAGCATAGTTGCGGTCGTCATATCGGCGATCATCTCTATAACCACGTTCATATCCACGGTCATAGCCACTGCGGTCATAACCACCGCGATCATCATGGCGACGTTCGTAATTTCGCTCGTATCCGCGGTATCTATAGGAGTCATCACGTCCGTAGCCGCCGCCGCCGCCGCCACCACCACCGTACCCACCCCGACGTCGGTCATCGAAACGAGGACGGGGATCTGATTCTATTCATTAGTTGGTCCAGGCTCAAGGCAGAATTTATTTGTACAACTGCTCACCTCGTTTTGGTGGACCGAAATATTTGCCTGGAGTAGGCGTGCGGGGACGAGCCCGACGGGCCTTCTCAATGCTGAGAGTGCGACCTTCAATTTGTTCTCCCTGCAAGCCCTCTTTTGCGGCTTCAGCCTGTTCTGACGTAACCATTTTGACAAAGCCAAACCCACGGGATTCTTTAGAGTGCGGATCGCGCATGATCTGACATTTTTCGACGTCTCCATACTTCTCGAACATTTTGGAGACCTCAGCCTCGCTTAGACGAGGATGAATGCCAGTTACGAATAGGTTGGAGCCAGGGTTAATGGCACCGTCATCATCATCCTTGGGACCGGAAGGCTCTTTTGGAATACTGTGAGACGATCGAAACCAAGTCCAACAATGTAAGCATGGGAACACCCTAATTGAGAGGTAAAGCGTTTAATACTAGCCAGACAAGGAGTATTACTTACGTTTCGGCATTTCCATTTGGTGACGCTGATCGACGACGTCCGCCATCGTTTTCATCACGGGTCGGTCGAGGTGAGGCGCTTCTGTTGTCACGATCGTAGCGGGGCGCATCGTCTACCCCCAAGATCAAGTGTTAGCCAGAGCTTGCATGTGCGCTCGTGCCAGGCAAAGCGCCGTCATCTACGTGCGCGTTTGTTTGCAATCCAGCTTACCGTCGTAGCGATCGCCGGCGGCGGCCTCATAATCCATCGAGGTAGTTGCCATGATAGAAATACAAGAGACGTCGGGGCTGATTAAGAAGAAGAAATATCAAGATGAACGGTCACAAGTGTCCAACGACGAAGGATTGTCAGCGTGTTGATAGATGAAGTTGAGAAGAGCGTGCGAGCTAAGAAGTTGCTCAAGTAGCGTGACGAAGGAAAGAAAAAAAGACAAGGGCAGGATGGCTGAGCGAGAGCTCTGACTGGATAGAATTTGCAAAAAAGAAGGGAAAGCCGATGATTAAGCGGCTGACCACTCACAGCATGTTCCGATTCCAGCCACAAACTCAATCAAATGTCTGGTGGTGACTGAGAGTTGCAGACACCACCCACGAGTTTGCCGCGCAAACGTACCGAGGTAAGGAAAGATATTGTATTCAGGGCCTGTTTTTATTAATTCCGTGGTTATAGTTCAGTCCACTCAATTAAGGAGGAAATCGAATTATCATCGTGGGCATATCGCCAAGACGATGCTGGAAAACAGCAGTTCGTCAACCCCAACCCAGGGTTTCATTATGCTTGCAAAAGGTTGTCAAGGGCGCTTTTCTGCTTGCCTCTGAAATTCCTGCCGGGCCTAAATCACTCGCCTGCGACTCACGGTTTTCTAGCCTTGGTCGGTAACGTCTACCAGTTGTTCTCTTACTCAAGCAGGGGATCTCATTTAATTGGGGTCGCGCGAGAACTCACTATTCTGGGAGCTTCACAAGCACGACGGAATATAGTTGTAGAATGTCTTGTGGTTAATAAACTAAACATATTGACGTCTTGGTTTTGTGACTGAAGACCTCCTGCGATTCATATCCCTGCATCGCCAACATGAAACCGACCACCACCAAACAAGTTCTTGATCGGTCCCTGTGGAACCTACACTGTCAAAGGGCAGAGAGTGGCACAACCATTGGACCAACGTTCCGCTGGCATAGATGAATCTAAGGGATAAATAAGTTGGGAGATTGCAACAACATTATCTCAACCTTGCAGGTTGACTACCAGACATCTTCCGGGTCCACTTCATGGCTCTCGCCATCGCTTCGGATATGCTGGCGATCTTTGTCCCTTTTCATAGGCTTCCGCATGTCAAACGCATCCTCGCCAGCCTTGGTTGAATCTGTCGCATGGTCGCCATAGTAATCTTTGACTACTCGGAAGACGCTGTAGCCTAAACTTTTGTAAAAGGCAATTGCTCGGTGATTACTCCTGCGGACGAACAGGTCCACAAACCAGGCATCACTGTCATCTGCAGCCGTTTCTAACTGGTCTGTTAATATTTTACCTATTCCCAGCCTGCGAGCTTCCGGTGCCACAGTCAGGGCAGTGATATGTGCGTGCCATGGGAGGTAATGCTCCGAGTACTTGTAGGTATTGGGTGACGATTCAACCTTGCCCATGACTGGAACGACCAAAAATATTAGCCAAAGTAGTATATCTAGTCTGAACACAACCTACTGTAGCCGATTATATTCCCGTCTTTGTCTTCGCACACTTGGAATAGAGCGGGCCATTTGGCAAAGTACTGCAAATAGAAACCCAACTCGTATGTTTCGGTCAAGGGATCTAGGTTGCATTTTGAGAACTTGTTAACGTCATCAGGACGAAAACGCCGAAAGGTTGCCATGGCCGCTGCGAGCTGGCGGAACTTGTCGATGCGGATGCACAGAGTAACTTTAAATGGTACACGCTGCCTTGAATGCCGGTAGATGCTATGATTCCATAGACCGACGATGCTCCCGGGCTAAAACACAACACCTATTTTGTATTAGGCAGGTTCTCAAACAAGCCTGCCAATGTGGTTGTATATGCCGGAAAAGATCTGGTGTACTTGAACTGGACGCTCGAGGCGCGACTCTTTGGGATGAAAAATTGACCAGCAG